TGCCACCTTCACCTGCCGCACCCCAGCACTGGGGAGCAGTGTCCTGTCTGGCTTGTCTTTAAAAGACTGGTAAAACGCCCATAGCTCTGGTTTTGCTCCCTTCCACACACCGTGCAGGAGAGGCTCCCTGGAGCCACGTGGGGCTCGTTGGCTTGGTGGGTCCCCGCCGGCAGAGCTGCTCAGCATCCTCAGAAAGGGGCTGCAAGTCCTGGATTGAAACTGGTAAGAGCTGAAGCATGCTCAAGACTTCAAGGCGAATTACATCCCATTGCAAAACTGGGCCCTTGAGAAATATTAAAAGTCTAGCACTCAATTACTTGTACTAAACTGTTCAACAGTTGTAAACACAGTGGGTAAAGTTCGTTCACCCAAAGCAACATGAGTGATTGCTTATCTTGGTGGTGGAGTGCCATAAAATTAAACTTGAGGAACACCCTGATTAATTGATTCACCATGGTTCCCGTTGAGTAATTATGTTCAGCGAGGGTCTGTCAATACAATTCGCTATTGGCTGCAGCAAGATCGGGTCTTGATAAATGAAAAGTGGTTATCATTGCAAGAGGGTGGTCATAGAAAATATTGGCACTTGAGGGGGAGCCCTGATAGTTTTTTTATATGATATAATTTGTGATAGTTAAATGTGCTCAAGTGATAAGATTTACTGCTGCATTTTGAATTAATCAGAATATATGAAGACTCTTTCTAATTTACTCTGTGCATAATGTTTCTCCCATAAATGTTCCTGTAATGTGTGTACACATTATGCTGTTTTCTGCTAAATAATAGAACCATAACAATCTATTTTAAAAACAAGTAATGAAAAATATTGATGGCAGAGCAACAAGGGACCTCATTCTGACACATGTATTTATTTCACTCATGACCACATCCATACAAGCCCTTGCAGCCTGAAAGCTAGAAATGGGTCTCACAGCAAAACCGCAGTCCTAAGCTCTGCACCGGTGAGTCGTGGTCTATTCCTGGGTATCTAAACCCAAAAGGTGACTTAATTTTCAAAGTTCAGGTTTCCCAGATGCTTAAAGTCCAGCTCATGCCTATGCCTAGCTAGATTCTCGGTGACCACCCAAGCTGTCTCTCATTTAGGGAGGACTCAGCCTAGGGATCTTTTTCCTGTGCATGTGCTTTAGTTACTGGTCAATAAAAAAGGAATGTTTTCTCTTCCAGAGCATTTAACACGTAGCCTGATGGGCTAGGTGGGCTCTCAAGGTGCAGTGATTGATCTAAAGTGGGTGCCTGGCTGCTCAGGCCAGTGGGGACCCAGCACTACAGCTCCAGGTATCTGCAGAGCTTCAAACTCATCTTTTGAAGCTCTAGTTTTAAGACTTGAGCACTTACATCCTGATCCTGACCGTTCCTTGGGGAAGGTGGATAATCCTCTTGCAAACACAGCCTTCAAGCATGGCTGTGATTGCCATTAGAAAAATCAGGTTTTTTACTAAATGCTTTTAGACAGTGGCATATCAGCCACTGCAGGTGGGTCCTTCAGGGACATAGAGCACTGCATAGAGTGACATAGAGCACTGCTGACTTGGTAAATGTGGATTTTCTAGCAGAGTCTGGGTTAGATGAAAATTACAGAACTGTCCTACATTAGAATGAAAATTACATCTCTACTGGGGCACATTTTTGTCTTTTGCTGAACTTCAACATCCTTCTTTCCTAAAATAGGGCATCTCATAGCAGTAAATCTCCTCCTTATGTACACAGCAAGCACAAGATAAAGCAAAATAATAGCCTTCCTCCACATGCTCTTGATTCATTCTTCCTCTGAAATTGGCAGTCTGCTTCCTGAAGACTTGCTTGCCAAGATCCTGTTCACTTCAATATCACTCACTCTTCAAAGTGAATAAATGATTTGAAGAGGTATCATGTTTCCAAACATTAGTTGTTCAGGAACTTAATGAAAATTCTCTCAGCTGGTAATTTCTTGTGGAAAAATTGGCATGGTTAACACTCAATATAGAGTGCATAGTTATCCTAGTGCTGATGGTACAGAACCATTTCAGACCAGAGGCAGAATTTGGGCAGAACCATGGAAATTAATGGAATTACAGCAATTTGCACCTGTTGTCCAAGATCACAATTTTCTTTTGCATACATGTCCAGCTCAGAGTTACCAAGGTGGCATTATGCCCTCAGCAGCGTGGAGTGATGGTCCTTAGGGGAAGTGGGATTTATTGCATGGTTGACACCTTTGCAAAAGTTGACAATCCAGTTAGTGTCCTAAAGTACCATATTATTGTTCTGCATCTTATGTTTTTGATTAGGAAAACTGTTATGCTTTGGCTCGCCAGTAACGGCTATTCTTGCAATCTAGACATCTGCAGTGGATATTTTATGTAACTGAGATTTAGAGGGACGACTCTCCAGCCTCATACACTCTAATTTGTTGAGAACCGGAGCTAACAGAGGTCTGTTAGTCTTCAGATATGACGCTAACCAGAGTAAAGTGCCAGAGGTATTGCCAAGTGCAATGCATTACTTCCATTTACAGAAAATTGAAAATCTCCCTACTAGGAGACTAAAACATGAGTGAGCTATCTTTCTTTACTCTGGATGAGTTTGCAACCATTGAACATCCATGAGAATGGCCAGAACGAAGCCTATAAGAAATAGGAGAGGTTTAAAGCAGTCTAGCAAGTGGCACTGGGAGATGATGGTTGTGGGAAGCAGCCAGAGCCAGAATTACTCTGGTGGACTGGACCCACCCCATGGTCTCCAGGTTGGAAATACTTGGTTTAGAGCAGAAAGTTGTGAACAGAGAATATCTTGTGGTTTTCTAACCTTTTCTTCTCATTTCCTCCTTGTTAATGACAAAAATGTACTCAAAGACACCTCCCATAGTACCGGATGTCATGAAATGGGTGCCGTAGTCGTCAATGAATTTGGCATACATGCCATAGTTATAGGTGTCTGGAAGCTCCCGCAGGGAGAGCAGCAGATCTTCATCCAGAACGATGTTGTCCTTTCTCATCTTGAAACGGGCTGTCTGCACCTTTGTCACACCTCTAATGAATCCAACCTCCTGTGGGTAAAGAAAAGAAGAGGTGCCACTCAATATTCAGTGAGAAAGAAGAAAAAAAAAAAAAGTAATTTCTAGTCCTTGGATTTGCAGAGGAAAGCCTGAATCTGTGACTGTCAGTGGATATTAAAGGCATGAAACCCAGCCCTGGTTTAAATGAAATCAGTGGTAATTCTTTCACAGGGAGCATCTCTTTCTCATGTGGCTATACGAGGTGAAGGGCAGAGCCATGGGTTTGGATGTTATGGGGTTTTTTTATTGATGTGAGGATATGATCAGCACTGAGCTCCATATGATTCCCCTCCATCTCCATTTCTGTTATTTCTTTTTCCTGCTGCCTTTTCCATGCTCTTTATTCCCTTTTGGTTTTTTCAGCCTCAAACAGTGATGCAGGACAAGGGCTCATGGTAAGACCAGCGCAGCCCGGCAGTGGGGGGATACCCTGACCAGGAAGGTGCTGACAGGGGAAAGATTTTTTGGGTGTATCACCAGGTCCATGACTCCTCTTCTAGATTGGCCATTGCCCCAGACAAGGCTCTAGTGCAACCAGAACAGACCTTTAAGTGATTCCTCCAATAATTGATTATCATTTAGCTGCAAACTCGTAAGTCTAGACAAGGGCACAGTAAATACTATAACGGTGCCAATTTCCAATAGCTTTTAAGGGCATTTCAACTCAGAACACCATCAAAGTAATTCTTCTTTATTGGTTTCTGTCAGCAGCCACAAGAGAAGTGGAGATGGGGTACAGTAAATGTGGGAAATACCAGCATTTGTGTTATTAGTTTGGAAAGGGGTCGTCACAGCTAGTCCATGATGTAAACTCACTGTGAGAAATACCAGGTACTCTTTTTTTATTTTTTTTTTAAGCGCGGTATTTTAACCTCCTGTAAAAAGTAGCATATTTGCCCATCATAAGGCAGCTTGTATTTATTTGAACAAGATATATTTGCTACCAGAGATCATTCCCTGAGGACAACTGTTTTGATCAACATCTTGATATTTCCTCGCCCTTCATCATCATTTTAAGCATTTCTTTATTTATGTGCTTAATGTAGCCATGAAACAGGATGGGATGAGATGACATGTGGGGTGGTACTTCGTAATTCAATTTTATTCCCACTCCCTGTTTGCTAAAATGTAATAAGAACAACAAACAGGATTACTAACGATCATACATTTGCAATTACATGAACAAATTAAGGTACAATTACTATGTGTTAAAAAATACAATTGAGAGAATAAACTGACATAAGTTACAGCCAGACCACGTGATGCACTGATGACACGATTGGAGCATATGTATCATTGATTTATTTTTTTTTACCTTTCTAGTGTATTGCGTGAAATTCTTCAGGGATCCTTTGCCACCTGATAAAGTGAAGCCCAGCTCCACCTGGAAATCTAATTTTCCAGGCCCAATTCCAATGGTAAAGCCTATCATTTGGGATTTATGACTTCTAAGAGCATCAAGCAGATCATTTGAATCATCATAAACCTCAAGAGTGAATCCAGAATCAGCATGAGCCTAAAGTGAAAGGAGCAGACATTAATTTTTCAGGTACTTCCCTTCCTTCTTAATCTCTATTTCTTTAAGGAGATGATGGTGCCCCTGTTGAAGCCCATGATGCTCCTGACAGCACCGACACTGACTTCAGCAAATGTGGAATAAAGAATTCAGTCACATGCCATTTCATTTGGAAATATGTGCGAAATGGGGATAAAGCCATGCATTTTGATTCATCCAGCTCCAGGCAGGGGAAAGGTTTGTGTTTGCCCACTCAAAGCAGTACCATTACAGGCAGAGCTGGTAATAGTGTCTATTAAGCTGGCTTGACACTTCCCATAACAAACCCTTCTTTCCACTTCCTTACAGCTCTGCCATATCATAACCATTTGGAGTGAATTTTTTCTCTCCAGCCTGCTTCTGGATGAATTTATTTAGGGAAAAAAAAATTAAACAGCAGCAATCCATCCACTTGCAATGGCAACACTAGAAAACAAACATTGTTTTGCTTGTGGTTTAGAGAATTGACCTTTTCCTTGACAGCTCTACTTTGCCGGCACATGGAATTGTGCAGCTGTGCTGAATCTGGGCTTTGCCATTTGCCGTCTCTAGAAAAAGCTGGCTAAATTACCAACACTGAAAAAACCCATCTCACATCATCTTCATTGACTTCCTAGACCCCAGCAGGTAGAAGCTTCTAAGTCAAGACATATATGGGGCATGCTCAAGTGCCCCTCAGTTCCTGACCATGGTGCAGATGTCCCTCCACTGCTAGCAGCAGATAAAGGTGAGAAGAAAATGTGGCCCGTGAGGTGGGTCTGTCTGGGTTTAAACTGGGGACTAAGGGGCACAGGGGACTCTCTTTGCTGGTAGGACATGAAAGCCAGTTGCATTGAGCCTGTGGCTGTAATATTCCCCTGCAATAATGTGTTTTCATTCATTCATGTCAAGAAGCGTGATAAATATTTAACAGTGTGGCCAAGGCACCCACTTACGATGTGGGAGACCCAGGTTGAATCCCTGCTCTACTTAGTTCAGTCACCAATACCAAATGTGACCCCCCAGAGTACAGGCATTGTGATACATGGTGATGGCTTTCAGCATCTTTGTCTCACTCAGAATTTGGATTTATGTCCCTTGTAGACATTCCATAGACTTAAAATGCTTTCAAAGATGAACCGGTAGCATTCTTCCCATTTTATCCATGGCCAACTTTATCCATAGAGAAGCTAATGGCTTGCGCAAGCTCTACAGCTCATTAACAGCAGAATTTAGAGAAAAGTCATTTCTCTTGGCTCTGACTAGGCCAGAGTAAGCAGTGGGGATGCCCAGGTGATAAAGCATGTTGTTTCCTTGATGTACCAGAAAACAGCATTTATATCACCAATTGCCTGTTGTCTTGGGGACAGCTGGAGAAAGGTGTCTTGAAAGACAACCTATAATGAATGATAGAATGTATGTAATATCTTTGTAGGAAGTTTGGCTTTTAGCTGGGAAAACATTGCTAAATTTGACCACGCAAAGTACTTACTAGGAATTGGTATATGTGAAAGTTGTAAGGTTTGCGGAAATACTTCTCGTCATCTCCGTAGTACAGATGTTCACATGCAGCATCGTACTTCAGCTCCCGCCACTCTCCATTGTAGACATACTCACACTGGCCTCCAAAAAAATTAGTATCGAATATGTATTGGCTCCCTTCCTGTGTTAGGATGTTGTATCTTGGAAAGAAACAGCATTCAGAACATTATCCATTGCTCCTGCTTTATTTCCCCAGCAGTCTCTGTCACTGTTTCTCTTATCCTGACACTACAAGTTATCTATCTGGCTCTGACTTTGAATTTGGATAGCATCTAAAATATAAGATTTGGGTCTGTTCTCCTTGGTATCTCCTTCCCAAAGCTAACAGGAGACAAACAGCCATTTTATTTCCAAGATAATTGTTTGGACTCATATGCTAGAGATGGAAGAAATCAGTTAAATTGTCCAGTCCATCTTGCAAGTCATTAAGAAAGTCCCAAAGTCCTGGAATCCCTCCAGGTTCCTCATGAGTCTCTCACAGCCTAAATGCATCTCACTGTCACAAAGTGTTTTCTGGCATTCCCTGTAATTGTTTTCTATCTTTATTTCATCTCCTTCCTTTTAATAATGCTCCCATTTCTCAGGAGAGTTAGCACCCTCCCTAGACTTTCAGTCTACTTATGCTTTGCCAAGTCTCTCGCTTATTATTTCCTTACGCCTCTTTCTTCCCACTCTCCAGCCATCACAGCTGCTGCCCTCTGAAATCCTGCCTGTTCCTTCATAGTCCCTGTAATTCTGCAGCCCCAAATGAGAGCATTATTCAAGCTGGACAGCAGCATTGCTCCTCACAACAGGGAATCGCCTTTAAGACTAAGATAGTAAATGCTATTGCTCTTGTGTGTTCTGCGGGAGAAACACGTCATGTGCTCAGTGAAAATTAATATATGTCTTGAAAAACTTTTGATGGACTCTCCCAGGCCCTGGGCCAGAGAGACATTTATCTCATGGACTTCAGAGAGCGTTGGATTGAGCTGATGGGAAAGCTGTCTAATGGGTGACTACATTCTCATACTGTAGCCCATGTTCCCCAAGTGAAACTAAGTAGTATCTCGGTTAAACATAAGATTTAAAACAAAAATGTCACAACAGACAATTTGCCTTTAAATTTGTTCTGGATTTGTCTTTTCCATGTATTACCTAACCAAAATTTGAAACTGAATACAGTAAAACTTTTCATGGATAGATGTATTTATCCTGCACATATTCATGTGGAGCTCAGGCTCTCTGCCTTCAATCTGTGCTCTGAAGTCCTAAATCCTGGAGTAAAATCTTCTCCTTAAGGATGAAAGCCACCAGCACCTCCAAAGTCTACTGTTTCCTTGAATATATTTAATATATCAGTTGAAGAAAGTTGTAAGATAACTGAACTCAGAGAACTGGGATCTATTTTAACATAGATATACAAAGGACACACACAAGTACAGAGTGGCTGAGAGAGACCAAATAAGTTTATAAACAGTAACAGATAGTAAATTTGAGACAATTTGAAATAAAAGCTGGAATGAACCCTCCTGCCTCCTTAGTTGCTAGCCATGGTGGGGTGGGACAGTAGCTCTCTTTGGGGTTTTGTACAGCACCCTATCAGTTCATGGAGCACTGCTATTATGAAGGGTGGGCAGTATAAAAAACTTAACCTTGTTTTGAATGTGAGAGTAACAGCTATTGATTAATTACCCTTGGGCTGCTTTTTCAGATCCTGGGACTGGAAGCAGATGTTCACAAGGGCCTTCAATATCTTCATCCTCGCAGTTACGCTCATCAGACCCATCTCTGCAGTCTGGCTCTCCGTTGCACACAAGATGCTGTTTAATACAGCGACCTAAAGTGCACAGGTACAGGCAGTCACTTATCTGCCCTTCAGAAAACTTTTTTGGCAGTTTGCATGGATTGTGTTGTTTTCCACCCATATCTCGGGGCCAACAGAAGTCACGCTGGGTGTTAAACCCAGTGCTTTTCCATTGGGAGCTTGCTTTTCCCTGCTCCTTAGGGGAGGTTTTCCTTTGCAACCTGGAGCAAGCACAGCTTGGAGTCCACGCCAGCCACTCCCTGGGGCTCCCATGGGATGGGAATCAAGCAGAGGTCACCTCACTGACCTGATTTTATTATCTACAATCGTGATTTTGGAAGGGAGCTACAGAAAGCAATAGCTTCTCCGCTTGGCTTAGGAAAGTCAGCTCTGTCTGGTCAAAGTTTTTCCTCTTCCCATTGTAGGAGGTATTTGGGGAGTTTATTGCAGTAATTATAGCTGAAGAGTGGATGCTTGCAGGAAGGGCAACTTGAAAGGGCTTTTGCTTCTGGGAGTGAGGAGAAAGCCTTGACATGATATTTGTGGCAGGAATCAACGCACTTACCTCAACAGGGTGGTGGTGACCTGTGCCAGCTGATGAGCTGGTCACCGAGCTGGCGCGCGTTTCTAAATTTCAATAGGATTTTCATTAAATGTTGAAGATGAGAGTTTGAGTCGTTTGTGTAAAAGCAAAAATCTGTCAAGGCTAGTCAAACTTTCAGACAACAGCCGTATTATATCCCAATCCTCAGAGCTGGGGATGGCTAAAAATAAATAAATCACCCCAACAGATTGCTAGTTGGATTCATGATTGAACTATATCTTTTGCAGGGGGAGAATGCGGTGTGTTGTGGGAGCGGTGGTGCCCATGGAGGGTAGCACAGCAGTTGGAGCAGAATATTTCTGTTCTCCTTTTTTCCACTGAAAAATTAACCTTTTCCACGTCACACAGCCTTCTTTTCTATCCAAATCTAAGCGTAACATGAATGGATTTCTGTGAAAGTGGGGAAAAAATCAAAGATGGGAAATTTCCTACTTTCTCTTGCACCGGCTCACCACCCTGCTGGCTGCACTGAACATATTTTGGCAAAGCTCTGCCTGTGGCAGGGGACTGAAATCATCCCAGGTCTGTCCAGCCAGGACCAAAACCTCCTTGGCAGGAGTTTGTGCCCAGTTCGCTCACCTGTTTCCTCACACCGAAAGTCCTTCCCGCAGCCAGGGGGTCCAGTGCACGTCGCCTCGGCACGGCCTAACTTGTACAGAGACATCACCTTCACAGGCTATAAAGCAATTCAAACTATCACTTTTACCTATATTGTTATTTTTCTGTGGACTTTGCACATGATAAATGGAGGAGAGTCAGCAGAGAGGTGGAAGCTCAGGAGATTTGCTTGAAGTTCATACAAGTGAATGGGGGGGGCGGGGAGGGGCAGGCTGGCATGACTATTTTCAAAAATCTCTTCCCTATTTTATACCTTGGAAATAGTATGGAATTTTTCCAGTTACACATGCTTTGTCTTGGAATGTAACAGGCTCAGATGGACACGGACGCTAATTGCAACACTGATCCTGCAACATTTCTGATGGATTATTAATGGGCATTTCTGCTTTTTAAACTAGGAAATAAAAAAAAAGGAAAAAGAGAAGAACCAAATAATTTACTGACTATAAGCACAGGAACAAAAAAATGCAGGGATATAAACTCAGTAGAAGGCAAAATTATGTCAGGTATTTGAAAATAAATTCTTGAATTATGAAGACATATGTGAAATTATATAAAAAATTGAGAACAGGAGCTGATGAATGAAGGCTGCTTTTAATTTCTTTTCATTGGAATATTTGCATTAAGAATCAGTGGATACTTAATTAAATCTGAGATAGAAAAAGAAGAAAGTCTTGGGCAAATATTCTGGCCTGATTCTTCCACCATTTGCCTTGATTTTGCATTTTGCTCTTCTGCTGCCTTAAACGAATTTATTCCCCAGTTTACACCAGGGTAAGTAAGAGCCTCTCTAGTAGAGGAGCATCTCCATCATATTTGGCTGAGTTTACTGGATGCTTCAGAATGATGAATATGTATAATATATATAATTAATGTGTGTACATCCTCATCACAGACACATCTGAAGATAAATGAATACATTACAGTGGAGTCTTACTTTTTTCTCTTGGCAAGGAAAGCAATCAGTCCATTCTGACCACTGGCTCAGCTGACAGTCGACAGGAGCTGCAGAATTAACATCTCTGCTGCTTCTTCTAAGGAGGGGAAGAGATAGCAGTCTAAGGTCTTTGAAGTTGTGTTTTAAGGAGAGCTGGAGGCTAGCAGGGAGAAAATGATGTCTGTGTGCATAGGAACCTATTTTGGAGGAAATGGGAAGCATTCCTTGGCGAGGGGCGGGGGGCTGCACTACCCAAGGTGTCCCATCCAAGTATTCGCCATCGGAATTGGTCAGGAGCAGCAGGTGCAGGACCTGAGGATTTTGTCTTGGGTTCCCTGCTCTCCCAAGAGATCTTAGCCCTTTTCAGTAGGTAGATTGCAATAAAATGTATGTACATCATATATGTAAGACCAAACACACTGAGTAAACAGAAGGAATGTTGAGAAGAGACAGGTTTTAAGGAAAGGCTTCTTTTTTTGGCTTTCTTCTCAGAAGCACATCACAAACTCCAGGAGTACTGGCCCACTTTGGGCCTGTTCTGATTTCACTTTTTTTACACCATTGTGAACTTACAGTCAGTATTGTTCCCAACAAGTATGAAATCAGGGTCTGATTCCCATGGGCTGTGTGGAGTGGTGGGAATGGCTGCACCAACAGGGCTGAGAAAGCAAGGTACAAAGCTGTGCTGACTATGAGAATTTGTTGGTTGACTATTTCTGAAAGGAAATACATAAATTCTGAGAAGGAGGAAATAACTAAAGGAAGCATTTATATATATAAATAACTAAATAAAAGCAGAAAATGGAAAGGCTACTGTATTGCAATGGCCCTTGGATCAGGTGCTCTGCACATAGCCTGAATATCACTATACAAGAGCGAGGAAATACTTCTCTTGCCTCCCAGCCCAGTCGTTACGAACTCTATTTCTGTCCCTACTCCTACAATCTTTATTTGTGTCATGAGTTTCTTTGTCTTGAGGAGCAATCTGTGGTGTGCTGATACAACTCTGTGTTTGCCACAGCCTTCGAAGCATTTTGAGGGGTTATGCTGAGCCAAAACATTATTATTATTATTTTGGTGATTAACTAATGAGCAGTCTGTTTTACTTACAAGACTGCAGTCCAAAGAGAAATATTGATAATTAGCAGCGGTACGGAGCACATTGGGGATTCATCAGAGGCTGTAGAAGAGAGACTACTAAATGAAAGACACAACAGCTCAGCAAGGGAGCCCATGGATGCAGATCAGTGCGTGAGATAAAAAGCCACCACGTCTTCAGGAAAACAACAGGAGCCTGCAGACAAACACGGAGCTGGAGGACATGCACATATTGATGCCTTTTCGCTCTGACAGGAGGATTTGTGGGCTGTATCCTTCAGCACTTCACAAAGTACTTAATTGGCTCACCTTCGATTGGATTTTACATTTACCTCTTCATTATTCTGCCTTGTTTGATAAGTTCATCAAACATCAAAAATCTCGTCTTTGTTCATTTTCAAAAGGGATTATCGGAATAAGCCTTCATAATTAAGTGTATCACTACCACATTTTTTTTTCCTTTCTACCTTCTCCTTGTCTCCATGTTCCAATTACCACTGATACCTTTTCTGATCCTTCTAAATCATATTTGCCTTTAGGAAAAGCCTGAAATTAATAGCTGTAGGAAAAAAATCCAACATTTTCCTATTATGACACTACAGCTTTAGAAAAAGGTAACTTGTTTATTCCCTTCCTTCAAATCCTAAATGACACTCGTATAGGTTAATAATATTGTTCAGGGGAAAAAAAGCAGATGTATGAGGATCTGGCTTGGATTGAAAATTAGGTTATAAACATGCACTTGTTAACTTGACCTTGTCAAGTATTGTTATTGTTAACAATAATTATAACTAAAAAGAATATGAAAAATATTTGCTCATAAATCATCCTGTATAGGGAATTCATTCCAAGTGCCCAAAACCAGTACGGTAATTTTGGTAAGGAAGTTTAAGAAGGCTTAATAGTCATCTATAAAAGAAAAACCATTGTGCAAACAGTTCATATAAGAAGGAATTACGATGCCTAGCTTGGGCTTTGGACAACTGCCAATATTTTTTTTTTTTTCTGGTAGCTGTTTACAGAGAGCACATTGTGCACACACCTCAAGTCGCAGCAGAGTTGATAGGCTGCCTGACTCGCCCATGATTTTTACAGGTAAAGTTGTGGGGGGAACAGACTTACCTCTGGGAAGGCAACGCCTCGAGCTCCCTGTGTGCTGTAGCTGTGGCCTGCCATGCCGCTAAAGCCAGCGAGCATATCGAGAGAATCAGAGGAGAAAGCTGACACAGGCTCCACCACATTGTTTTTCCATATGTCAATGTTTGCTGTAGTCTAGTGGCAAACAAGAGCTTTAGGCTTCAGGATGTCGTGGGGCAGACACTTCTAAAAGAAGCATGGAGCCCACTGGACGCCAGAACACTGCGGTAAATCATTGACGATGGCACAGATCAAATCACAAAGAATCAGGACACGTCCTGGAGGCCTTTGCCCTTTCGGAAACAAATTCCCAGTTTTCTGGCAAGGAAATGTATTAAACTGTGCAACTGTTTCCACATTAAAGTCAATCAATTCCTGTTGCAGCAGTGTGTTTCTTGCCCAGCCTCTGCCCTCCTTTTAATTTGAAGGAGGAGTAAACTACTTCTATTTCCCGCAGCGACTTAACTGCAATTTTGGTGCATCTGGTCATTGACCAGAGAAAAGCTTCCCAGTACAGCAAATTGAAAATTATTATAAAATTGCATAAAATAACAATTTTGTTATGTGCCTTCCCCACACATCAAGGAAATGTCAGTTCAGCTTCTTCCCATTTCTATCCCCGTAAGATAGTGTCCCATCTCCAAAGCTGCTGTGAGTTATCACCTGGCTTTTGGATGGCCCTGCACACTCTCTGCAACACAAGAATCTAAATCTCTGTTTTCTGAAGTAATTGGGATGAGGAAGATACCCCCTAAATCTGAAATTATGTCCTACCCCATATCCTGTGCAAACCCATCTTTTAGCGGTGGGTCTAATGCTTTTCACTGGTTGGGATCTTAACACAGAAGTAGTGGATGTGCACAAGTGGTTATTTATCTGCTGCATAAGTGGGATGAGATGCTTCATGCATAAATGAAGTGTTCCCAGCAGACAATTTGAAGCTTGAACCTCAATAAATTCAAGAGAAAGTGTAATTATTGTAGGGGAATCTGGTCTTGGACTATGGCAGCTATTAAGCAGACAATGAATTGTCCTCTGTCCACAAAAGAATGGGATAGAAGTGTCACTGTGTATTTCCCATATTAATTGCAAAGCTAATTTCAATAGATGGTATTGCAAATTAGCAAAATAAAAGGACCTCTTACCGTGTTATTTTAATGTAATTAAAGTTCAGAATGACCCTGGGGCTTGTCTTTGCTAAACATGAAGAAATGTAGCACATGGGTAAACTCTGTAGTGAAATGAAATGAAAACTGCCTTTTTGTGACCTCCGAGAGTATGTTAATGTAATCCCTTACCTACTAATGCACTTCAGATGAGTTCAGAAAGTCCTTCTCCTTTCTTCGCCTACCAAGAAGAACTCAAATAAGGGGTTTAACATTTTTTTTATATATATATATATACTATTAAACCTAAATTGCTTTTGCCTGGGAGGAAAGCAGGGGATTGAAACTGGCCTGAGGCGATCCCCATCGTTACCTCCCTATTACATATTACAGCCTCTCTGCATGTTGCTGTTAAGACAGAAAGACATAAAAAGGTTTTAGCAATGCTTATAAAAGTCTGATGGGGATGGACCCCTCTGTCCCCCTGGTGGGAGCCTCCCTGGCCACTTGCCAAATCTGTCTTTAGTCCAAACTTCTGCCGTCCTGTGATACAAATGGCTGCTTTGCACAGTCAAGTGCCTCCTCAGCATCTAAGCAAGACTGTCGAAGCATTGTATCTTTTCTTTTCTGATAGCAGCGTCAGAAACACACCATATATATAATGAAAGTTATTTGTGGCACGTCTCCCAGGTAAAAGGCTGGGCTGGTTTGTGCAATCAGGCACAACAACAATTTCGCGCTGAAAGGTGAGGTCGTTTGAGGGGGGAGGCATGCAAGCGAGATTTAAGCGGCAAGCAAGGCACACCACGTTAGAGGTGAAATTAAAGAACCTTTCTCAAAGGTGGTGTGTTCCAAAAGTGATATATATAAAAGTTATGGATCCATTTATAACGTTATGAATTGAACTTGTCTAAAATGTGTGTTGGATCCTTGCCTCTAAACCTGAATTAACTCTCTGAACCTCTGGCTTGCAATGCTAGCTGTGCTGCCGATAGCAATGCAGTCACCTTCAGGATGATAAGCTGTGAACTGAAGTCCTGAGGCTCTTCAAGAGCACGGAAATGCAGGCTGGGAGCGGGCTGGGCTGAGCAGCGAGCTCACTGCAGCAAAGCCTGGGTGGGAGAGTTTGTATCATCACTTTGGGACTCTTCCCGTCGCAAATCTCTTTTCCCCGACTCTGAAGGACCCTTCCCTGCTAGCCCCTAATTAGAAGACACATAACTCCTCATTTACAACTCTGACGTATCTAAAATCAGGAGCAGATTAACTCGGCGTAAACAAACTTGGGCACTCACTTTTCCTCTCTGATGGCAATACAGGATTTTGTTCTACTTCAGAAAGTCTCCACTTCAAATGTCTTTGGCCCATCAAGGGGAATTAAGTTCTGCCTGCAGAATGCATTGATCTTTAAAACAGCACCTGAACAGCACAGTTGGTAACGTGGCTGTCTGCACGAGCCTAGCTCCAGGGTGAAGTTATATTACATGAGCTAAAATAACGTTGTCGTTGTCCAGCAATTTGCATTTGTAATTTCTTTATATGTAGATTTTTATTTTTAGTATATTCATATGTTTTTTCTGCAGGAGATACAGTTACTTAAAGGAATCGTCCTTCTTTATGCCAATATTCTATTTATAATTTTTTGTAGTATGTTATTCATGCAATGCTGTAAAACTGAATGTTGTTCCTGGCTTGAAGACCATGAACATCGAATGACAGAGGTCTGTTCTTTTTTACTCTGTTTGATATATCATACCCCCAAAGCTGTATCCGAGCTTCTTGCCATCGATGTGACTGACACCTGCCATGCGCTGTTTGTTCTCTGGTGGTTCCCCAGGGAAAAGTGCAGAGCAGACAGCCTTTCATTCAGGGGTAGGATGCTTTTTGTTAAAAACAAAACACAACAGAGATTGCTGCAATGTACAGTGGTTATAGAGATGTTAGATATGGCAAGATGAAGAAATTGTGCCTAGCAATTGGAGCTCTGCCCTTGGAAAGTTTGCTGTTTGACACGTGCTTTCACAGCACACATGGACTTTCTCAGCTCATCCTCTCTGCAAGCGCTGGAGAGCTTTCTCTGCACAGGAGCTTGGTAAAATAACTTCTGTTTTGCCAAGGAAGCAAAGCTGGTTATCAAGGTCTTCATCTCTGAACTTCAAAATCAAATTCTCAGCACAGATACCTCCAAGAGAAGGGTTTAGATTTAGAAGATGACTGTATATTGTGTAGCAAACAGGAGACACAAGTAGAAGCAGTAAAAAGGATGAGAGATGTAATGTGTTTGCTATCGTTTACGCTGCTGAGCAGCTGCTCTATGCTAGATGATGTTTTTGCAGTCTTGAAGGCCTCATGCCCACACGTACTGCATTACGGCGGGGCAGGGAATGGATGCTGCAGGCTGTACCTGGCCCTGGTCATCATCCTCCGTGTCAGCAGGGTGACAGCAAATGCTGCCTGCAGGTGCTGGCAGGAGTGGTCACTGTCACAGCGACGGTCCCACACCACAGGTAGTGGCTGTGTCCCGACAACTGGGCTGAGCAGTCGCTGCAAACACCAACACGCTTTTCCTCTGCGCACCTCATTTCCTCTGCGCATCTCGTTTCCCGAGGTTCAGCTGTTCTTCATCCCCAGCTTAAATGTTCTGTCCAGTGGGTGCTCACTCTGAGGACCAACAAAGCTCTCTGTTGTTCATGTGCGTGGCATGCCTCGCAGTTACTGAACCTGGTGCCTGCAGAGAGGTGTGGAAAGGGTCCACCTAAGGACCAGATGATGACCACAGCTCTAGTGTTGGACATGCCAGTTTTCATTTGGTGTCAACAGATACCGAACCAGTCTGATAGCATACCTTCTACCAGAGTAAACAGCCTGAAACTCAAGAGCAATTATAGTGCTAAAAAAGAAGTACGCACTTGTGGGATCAGGGCTGTACTGCAGAGACCGCCTTGTAGCTTGGACAGATAAAAACCCCCTCAAACGTTGCAAGGCTTTTAAATTAATTTTCTTGACTGCTACAGTGCTTCAACAGGGCTGATCTTAAAACGTCTGAAGGAGCCACAGGGGTACCTACATGGCTCCTCCTAAACAACTCTTTGTCCTGGCCAGTAAAAGAAAGTGTTAGCTTTTTGGATGCAGGGAATCAATAATACTGCATTTTCTTAATTCCTCGTTAATGCCAGTAATGCAAGACAGAATTAGCGGCTCCGTGGTGGAACAAGTGATCCTATCTCCCCCTCTGCTGGGAAAAGCATGATATGACCTCCTGGCAGAAAAAGGGTGAGATGTGCGGGGAACCGGGCTGGGGTGGCTGTTCTGGCCCTCCGGGGGACAGAATAAGGCGTAAAAACTGAGCCAAAATCCTCCCCTAGCACAAGGCTGTGCCCTTCTATCCAATTGTGCCCATTTTTCTGGGTTCTGAGGTGTTTTTTCAGATGTGTGGACCCTACTGCACTGCGCCCAGTAGCAGCCGCTTCCCTCGCTCTGTGCCCCATCTCCTTCCCCCCCGTGCTGTTCCACGTGCAGGGCCAGTAGCTGTGACAAGGGAAAATAACTTGTCAGACCATTCCCAATCTATAATATTATGACACTGGGCTAAAGTTACCAGCAATTAAGTCACGGACAGTACCCAAATCTAATTGTCTTTCAAAGAAGACTGGATTGCCCCCCAAATTTCCCTGGTCACACTGCTGCCCTTTCTAAAAGTCTGAAAGATTTCAAATAAATCATATTCCCATGATCTGCTGCTGTTTCTGGTAAGACCTCTGTGAAATCCCAAAAAACCAAAAAAATCTGCCTATAACATATGACAAACCCCACCAGTCACTAAGGAGCTGAAAAGACTAAGGGAGGGAAAATGCCTGCTGGATGCTGAACTTGAAGCCCTTGCACCGATGTGTCTATATATGATACTAATGGCATCACTGCAAAAACCCCATCCAAATGATAAAATTTTAGATTTTTAAGCAGGCTGAAATTGTTTGTTCTGGGGAGATTGTACACTCTTAGGAAGTGCTTGGTGCTACTGCTCTCAGTAGTGGTGTTTGGTTTTATTCACATCAGGGCTGTGCCTGGGAACTCCCGCTCTGGGTCAGTGCCTCTGATACAAAAATCCAGGCTAAACCCCA